TGGATGTCGTCATCCTGGAGCATCTGTTGGCCATTTTTGCTGCCCGCCCCGGCTGTTTACTTTCGCTTCGAAAATATAGTGATTCTTCACCCAGCGCTTGTAGTTTCTTGAGCGTTCGATACACTTTCTTTACAAAAAGGTCAACAGCCAACAGCAGTGGTACTGGGAATGGATAGTGCGCGATTTTTCTCTCTGGAATACATTTGTTACTGTTACTGACGAGGGTTGCAGGGTAGAGCGCCGCGGAGGATTCCTCCGACCTCGTTTCTGCGCTGGCGAGTGTCTTGGATGCGCCAGTTTGTGACGCAGCAGCGGTGCTGCCCCGAGGGCTCAGCCCAGGGGCCTCTAATTGTAATGAATTGCTGTGCTCTTGTCTTTTGAGGATCATTGAGATTGGCTTTATTGTGTTGTAATTTAATGAAGTTGCCTGAAGACCGTTGCCTTTGAAATATGGCCTTAAGTATTTAAGAACTCAACAGTTTTTCTTTGAAATTTCCAATAGCACTACCAAAAAGTAATATAAGAATGCTCCCAGTAATGAAGAGGTGGGTTTTGATATGCTCTACTTTTCTAAAAACAAATATTATATGGCGATTTTATATAAAACCTGTTTGAAAGTGGAAGCGTTTCTCTTAATGGGCTCCTCCTCCTCTGTGCGGCTTTCTGAAGTGTCGTTGTGTATAAGCTTATTTAACCAGCGAGACGGGGTAAGAACTACGGGAGGGAATTGCATACAGCTATTTGGGAAAAATTCCTTCTCCTTTTTCTTTTTCTGAATAAAGGGCCAGATAGGGTGTTAGAGCAACTTCTGCTCGCTGTAGGGAGATAAATGCTATGTTACTAAAGATTACTTGTGATGTTGACCTTTAGAATGGTTGTTGCTACTTTCAGTATTTATGGGCCTGAATTAACTTGCCAGCTGTTTAGTTCAGAATTGTACTTGGCTCCTGAATATTTTTTAAAGCGCGCGCGCGCGCGCGCGCGCACACACACACACACACACACACACACACACACACTTGTTTGGAGCATACAAGCATACATTTTAACTCTTATTAGGACGTTTAAAGGATAACTTAAATGGCCCCATGGTGTAGCGCGGTGGTTGAATGTGGACCTATGAACCATGAGGTCACAGTTGGACAACCCCCCTCCTCAGGGCATATGCCCAGGTTCCTGGCTGGATCCCCCAATTATGGGGGCGTTTAGGAGGCAGCTGATCAATGATTCTCCCTCTCGCTCTCTGAAATAAAAATGTATTTAAAAAAAATAACTTAAATGCACTATTGGCATCTGGAGCCAGGTTTTGATTTGGGATTTAAGACAATGATATTAGTGTAGGTAATTTTTAAAAATTTAATGCTTCTATCTAGAATTCCTTTCTCATGCCTTCCTTCTGCCTTCAAGTGCTACCTATTAAGGCTTAAGCCAAATGCCTTTTTACTGAACACCCCAAGTTTCCTTCAGCCCTCCCTCACTCTGCTAACTTGTAAACATAGTCACAGCTTTAGCTTTAGAATTAGAATTTTATCTCATTTTCTTGTCAAATATCTGTGGAACCTGACTCTTTGAATGTCTCCCATTTACTAGCTCTGTCCTGGGCAGCAAGCTGCTCAGTATTTGTAATCCGATATTAACTAACAAGGATTTAAAAATTAAATAAGCTTAGAACAGTGCCAAATACATCCAAAGAGTTTAATAAAAGGTAGTAAAGTATGGTGCTTCTAAGGGCCAGAGATTATGTGCATTTTATGATTGCAGTGTATAGTAGTGAATGGTTTTAGAGCAGTGCTTTTAATTTGTTTATGAACCCGAAAATAATTTTTGTAAAATTGCCCTTTTGCACATGTTTAGGTTCATTTATAAGATTTTACGTCATACTTTTAAGTAGTTGCAAAGCATTCATTTTCCCACATATTAACATTTGTATAGTATAAAATTGGTACATCACTCTTAACTGTATCCAAAGGAGTATAATATTGCACTTTTATACCCATCATCGATTTTAAAAATACATAATTTATGCTTGAAAGCTTTTTATTCTCTGTCATATGTGCCTTTAATAAAAAGATTTGTATAAGTGAAACTAGTTTTTAAAGTTTCGTATGACTTTTTAACTTTAGGAGTTATTTTTCTTCTGTATTGAGTTATTAGAAGTGGTAATAGTTGCTCAGAACAGCATAATGCCTGATAGATTTTGATAATTAAATATGAAAAGTAAAAGTTTAGTGTTAATTGTCTTAATGACATGGAAACTTGGAGTTGCCTAAATGAAAATTGACACTGTTATTGAACAGGAAGAGTTTGTTCACCTAGCACAGTGATCGGCAAACTGCGGCTCGTGAGCCATGTGCGGCTCTTTGGCCCCTTGAGTGTGGCTCTTCCACAAAATACCGACTTCTTCGCATAGGCCATGAAGTTTCAATCATCACACTGTACATGCATGCCCACACGTGGTATTTTGTGGAAGAGCCACACTCAAGGGGCCAAAGAGCCGCATGTGGCTCGTGAGCCACAGTTTGCCAACCACTGACCTAGCACTAGTAGAGCCAAACACTAAATACTGAGAAAGGTTGGCTATTTTATTATGAACTAGAGGCTGGGTGCATGAATTCATGCACGATGGAGTCCCCAGGGGGATAGGGGTGGGGCCGAGATGCGATCGGACCTCTGGGCAGGCGGTGGGATGCCCTTGCTGGCCCAGGATCCGGATCCGTCCTGCTGACATTCGCGCCGGTTGTCAGGAGCCACCTGGCAGCTGCTTTTATATCCTTTCTTTATTGCAGAGCATCTAGGGAGGGGAACTGGCCGCTGTGCCCGAGCCGACCTCCAGGAGGCCAGCGGTGCTGTTGGGACCCTGCCGGCGGCGCTGGTCCCTCAGTGCCTGGCCCATTCTCCGGAGATTGGACCTGTAGGTCTACTGAGGGAGGGAGTGGCTGCCGCCGGGCTGCTGAGCCACCAGGATGGGTCTGTCAGCTGAGCGGCACTCCCATTATGGGAGCGCACTGACCACCAGCTCCTGTGTTGAGCATCTGCCCCCTGGTGGTCAGTGCACCTCATCACGACTGGTCGTTCCGGTCGTTCAGTCATAATGGTCGCTTAGGCTTTTATATATATAAATTAAACTCAGAATCTCAAGAGATATTAGTACTCCCTTGGTAGTGTTCATTGCAGCACTGTTCACAACATCCACGATATGAAAATAACCAAAATGTCCATCAGTGGATGAGGGGCTGCCACTTTTATCAAGCAAGATGGCAAGAAACATAACCACTAGACAAAGAAGGGCCAACAGAGGTAAAAACAAGTTCTTTCTACATTCCTGATGCAATGAGACATAGCCGTTCTTTGCACTGAATTCTAGTGCAATTGGTAAGATATAAATCCTGCTGTAAAAAATCAATAAAATATATTTTTAAAAAAAGGAATTATCATGAAGCAGAGGCAAACTGTCCCTATTGTGCCCTATCCTAACCTTAAAACACAGAAACATAAATGGATAGTTAACAATGCTGGCTTGTAGATAAGCAGCATCTATAATAATGTAAGTGTAACATGCTAATTAGACTGGACAGCCAAATGACCTTCTGGACAACCTTCCAGATGAAGTGGGGTTGCAAGGGCCAAGACAAGCTGCCGCAGCTTTGAGGGCTGAGCCCCTTGCACAAATTTTGTGCATCAGGCCTCTACTCTATATAATAAAAGCCCAGCGACCCTTATGGTGGACTGACCAGAATGACTAGTTGCTATGACATGCACTAACCACCAGGGGGCAGACGCTCAATGCAGGAGCTTCTCTCCGGTGGTCAGTGTGTTCCCACAGGGGGAGTGCTGCTTAGCCAGAAGCTGGGCTCATGGCTGGCAAGCACAGTGGTGGTGGGAGGAGCCCTT